CTTTTCTTGATGTCTATGTTCACTTCTATAAGCGCGAAGAAGGAAGAAAGATCAAACAGATGGCTTTCTTTGAAGTTGGAAGGTGAACTAAGTTGTACTGTACTGTAGGAAAGCGTGAAATCTCAACACGAAGATCCTTGAGTAAAAATCACAGTCGCCTTAGTGAGATCTTTTCGATGTACAACGTAATTGACTATTCCTAATATCTAGACTCCCAAATCACTTTCCTTTACAAAATAATGATCAAACTGTCATATGTTGTTTCTTTCCTTTTCGTTCCACAGTATAGTTCTCATAGTCGACTCTATAATGAGTCTATGTAATACCTGAACAAACCCACTATGACAACGGTGGCGAAAAATCATTCTTACTATTTGTTTAAGACCATATTAGCAAGTGATAAGGCCAAAGAGAATATATATATTACCTATAATTAATTAGCACAGTTACTGTGTTCTTTGATGTGTTATATGTAAGAGTTAATAAAAAGTAATCTATTGGAAAAAATGAATAAAATGGATAAGAAAAGATAGATTTTATATATTTTCTCTCTTATACAAACATCACAGACGAGCGCTTTACATTATTCTACGAATGATTCGAATGATTCGTTTGATCCGATTGATTCGTTCATAGTTTTGACGGCTTCCCTAATGTTTGATCCCTATTTGTAATGTTGATAACTGTATTTTGTTTTATCCGCACAGCCAATCCACTAAGAACATAGGTAAGACCTCGAAGCATCGTGTCCATAGCGAAAGTTTTTCTTTCTTCTTTCTTTGAAAAAAGAACTTGCCTAAACAAGCGTCCTACTTTCTTATTTTTTTGTATCTTACAGTAGAGCCCTGCATGTTACGACTTTTTGACAATCTATAACCTAACCTATAAAAATTTTCACAACCTAAACCTAACCTAACCTACGAAACTCGTAACCTAAACCTAATCTAATCTATTAATAGTTTTCGTAATCTAACCTAGGTTAACCTAATACAACCTACGCAATTTTTTTCCAAAACCTGGTTTCAGACTTAAACCTCAGTTTTGTTTCATACCGTTATTGTTTCTTATCTAAACACCATCTGATAGGTAAGCTTATGCAAAATAAATCAGATTTTGAATATAGAAACGAATCGGTTGAGTCTTTTATTCTTTAATGCAATCTTTGTAAAATAGCTTTCTGAATATGGAGACCGTCTTAAAAATTTCACTTTAGGCTCTCGATGCTACGAAGGTTCTGTTATTGTTGTATACGCGATCTATTTTTAGCAAACGTAAGATTTTTCCCTGTACTTCCTTTTTTGATTGTGCTATTTTTCAGTTAAAACTAGAGAACTTCCGTCTGAACTTTATCCTCAATCGATAATATTCTACTCGGACTACGCTTTATTACTCAAAGTATTAGCTGTTTTGATGTGGTGGTCCAAAAATTTTCGTTTAGATTAAAAAGAGGTTATTAATAGCGTAACATTCAACCTAACCAATAAAAATCGTAACCTAAACCTCACCTAATCTATAGATTAGGTTAGGTTTAACCTGCAGGGCTCTATCTTACATTTGCATTAGAGTCGATGTTGATTGGTTCACATCGAAACTTGGTTAGTACGTAATAATTCACGAATGAAAATTAGACAATGTTTAGCCATTTTAAAATTGTGCAAAATGAAAGTGTTTTCCGTTATTCATACATACAGCGTCACAAAAATGTTATTGGGTGTACTTCTATTTTAAGAATTCGAAACTTGTTTATTGTAATTATTTTTGAAATAGTGATTTCTTTTTCTCTGCTGACATATAATGAAAAATCTCTGCAAAAACTTTATTGCGAATATTAGGTTTCAGTATCCTTATAAACTGGCTCTGTTGTTGAACAAATAATACTTTCATACTAATTACGATTTCCTTTCTTAGTGCAGACGACATAAATGTACGGACAAACTTTCTAAGTTGCATCATTCTCACCCTCACTTTTTATTTTTATTCTCGAAGACCAAAAAAAATGTGACGATCATTTATCTGTTTTTGTCTGCCAAAGAAATCAAGTTATGCATAAAAATAAATGTAATCGATTCATTAAGAATTGAACATATCTTCCATTTTCTATCAGCTTTAAAAGTCAATTTTAAATCTATCACTTTTAGAGGTACAGAATCTACCGTGAGATTGGAAAATTTCCCCCCACGGAAAAAGTTTGTCAAAAACTTCCCCGACTTAAGTCACGAACGGAATTTCTTTTTACAAAATATTTCCAAAAAGAAATGTCAATGTCAAACTTCCCCGAATCAATAAATTTTTCCCCGACGAACGTCGGAGCAAACAGGCAGATTCTGCAGCTCTGATCACTTTTGTAGTTCCAAATGGGTTTTTTTACTCATGCATAGTAAAACTGCCACCTCTGTTGCATGATGGACTATATGCTAAAAGGTCATCGCCTCTTGATAAAACATTCGTTAGAGCGAAACAAGGAGTAGAGACGTTCTAGATACTAAATTTGCTGAATGCCAGATTTTGAATACAGATCTCAATCTTGTTTTTGCTTCATTTTTAACAAAATCTGTTTTCATAAAAATCATTTTATTAAGATATATTTTTTTCCTAAAAAGTTGCTTCAACAAATAAAAAACGTTTACACAAATAGCTGTAATAAACAAAAAATGGAAACAATGCCATTTCTTACAAGAGACACGTTACACTAAAAACAAAGAAAAATATCACGTTGTTAATAATGCCATTCCGTTTGTGCTTTTAATTCTTCTTGGAACATCATCATCTATTCATAAATCCATCTTTCAGCAGAATTTGTCCAGACGGCGAGCTCATCTGCTCGAAACCATAAGTCAATTTCACGTTTAGCTGATTTGTCAGAATCGCTACCATGTGCAATATTTCTAAAACAAAAAATAAAAAGACATGTACAAAAAACAATCATTAAAGGAATATGTATGTTTACTCACCTTCCTGTCACAATAGCAAAATCACCACGGATTGTTCCTGGCTCAGATTTTGCTGGATCAGTTGCACCCAGCATTTTTCGACCAACAGAAACAACATTTAAACCTTCCCACACCTAAATTCAAAATACAAAAAATAGTAATAAACTTAGAGCACTGAAAACAACTTACCATTGCAACAACTGGTCCACTTCCGATGTATTGTAATAATGGTTCGAAGAATTTTTTACCCTGATGTTCATCGTAGTGTTGTTCAAGCAATACTCGTGTTGGCTAATTAAATAAAAGAAAAAATAGTTTTTGAAACATCGTGATATCTCTGACCGATGCGATGAATCTTCTCTATTCATATTATATCGTGATAGAGAAGTATCAAGAGCCAAGAGTACTTGAGACCATACAGACTGTGCGATGAATAATCGTGACTCTACAAGTATCGAACCCAGTAGAACGAAAAAGTGCTAGAACAGATATTGTGACCATGTTCTAAAAAGAATCCTTTGTGTCAACGGAAACTCTGACATGCGCTGATACCTCGGATTCTAAAAATTTAGGTCTACGTTTTCTTTCTCTTAGGAAAAAATTAATAGACTCAGCCTAAGCCCTCTTCCTTATGTTAGAAATGATAATTTTCATCAGAAAGATTAATTTTCAACAAAATACATGATCTTATAGCTCAAAGTGTCCACTATTCGTTCCACCACTTTTCTTATCTCTAAAAGCAGGCTTCCTAGTGTAAGGGAGACGTTAAATTGTTCTCTGTAAATCTGAAAGTGACTCCGCATATATATTCTCAACATATATCTCCATAAGAAAAATGTTTTCACTACTTACCGTAACCATTTTTAATGCGACGAGTTTAAATCCTCGTTGTTCAAAACGCTTAATGATTTCACCCACTATACCACGTTGAACACCATCAGGTTTAACCATGATAAATGATCTTTCATGTGCATCAGTCATTGTTGAAGTTTTATATAAATTAGATGTATGTGGATTGAAAACCTAATAATAATAAAAACGAATGTTGCACTTATGAAAGATGCACAGTCTCGCGATTCTATTTGGGAAGAAATGCAATGTGTTTTTTCTCGATGACACGTAGATATACTTACAGGTTTTCTTTCTTTTTCCTTTCTTTATCCTTTTCATAAAGAAACAAAAAAATATTTTCAAGTTTCGGCGGACTATAGCTGTATGCAACATTATAAAAGAAAAAGAGCTTTCCTCCAAATCACATGTTATTGTAGTTTTCTTTCGTTTCTTTTCTAGAGTACAGTTTGTGGAATATACGATGCTCTAAAAGCGATTTGAAACAAGTGTTGTCACTATTCACACTATAGAACATAATATACGACAAAAATGACAACTGTAAAACCAGTCTGATCAGTTACTGGAAATACCCCTTTTAAGAAAGATAGCATTTTCTTGATATCACTATAATCTGCTCTTAAGGGGAGAAAAAAAAACTGAAAAATTGTTGCCGCATTAAAAGAAAAAATTTTCAAATGAATTCTCTCTTTCCTTACAACAGCTGAAAACATAACACTACCGTGGAATTAGATTTATTTCTATTAAATTAATATTATTAATTCATCCTGAAAGTTTTGCAAAGTGAAAAAATATGCCAGCAAGTGTATTACACAATAAAATAATAGAAGAAAATAATTTCATACCACCTTTTGAGCTTAAACTAAACATTTTTGTGAGTTTCCTTGCTATAATATTTGATCTGAATTTTAGAAAAATAAAAAAGATAAAATACAAACAAACCTGATTTATGGTACATGAATCCGAATCAATATTGTTTGAAATTACAAATTGAATTAGTATTAATGAAACTAAGGTTACGTGGTACATTGACTTCCTCTAAGATACATTTCACCAAGCAAAAATATATTTTTTACTCTAGAAACAAAAGTAACACGTGGCAAGAATATAGGCGCTTTAATCGTTCTCTACATCTGACTATCACAGATCTTTTTATTGTGTAAAATTTTTGCCCTACAAAGAATTTTGTATTATAATTTAAAAAATTTGACAAAATTAGAAGTAAAAACTTCCACTAAAAGTATTAAACCGTGTTATGAATGGGCGGCGAGCCATCACGTAGACATGCAACGTTGATATAATTTACTTTTCATGACATTTATATTTTTCTATTGCCATATTATTTTTTTCTCATTTGAAACAAAAAAAATGAAAGGAAATAATTTGTATATATATTTATATGGGGCTGGAATGCGTCTCTTCACAAAAAATTTAGCATGACATATATAGAGAGAGAAATATACAACTGGACTAGGATTTTCTTTTGTTTTAAGAATTTTAGTTGCATGAAATCAATAGCAATTTAAAAATATTTCTCTGTTTTACTGGTGACCAATGATACGACGCGTTCGTGAATGAAATACGATAGAAATAGATTATTTATCAATTATATCAATCTTGATCGAATGTTTTAGTAAATTAAATGATGAAATGTCGAAATTGAATTACTGTAAAGTACTTGATTTTTTACCCTTTTGTCAATTTGTAAAGCATGCATTAATAAACGCTGTTTTTTAAATCAATTATTTAATTTCATAAATCTCCCTTGGAAATATTTAATTGGACAAATGTTTAATGGGACGAATTATTTTCATTATAAATTTTAAACAGAAATTCTCATTGAACGGTGGAAGTATAGTAGGTATATTTCTCTAGGAAATTCATATAACAAAAAAAATGAGCTAAGGGATTTTCTTTTTATTCTCTTATCCATCTCTTATCTGACCAAAACAAAGGTGGACATGCATGATGTTGATTTTGCTGATCTGTTTGCTGTGCTTGTTTACAAATAAACAGAAGATATTATGTGTTCTTCAATTATTTATCTAAAAAAAATAAAAATAAAAATCTAGATTAGTTCAGTGCCCTATAATTATATCATTCACAAATAGAAATGTTAACCACTTTCAAATGTGAAAACATTTTGAGAAGTTTGTGAGCTACCAATGTCATGATTTTTCTGAGAAGCAAACACATTTTTTACAAATTTTTGCGGTTTGTTTTAAATTTCTCAAAACATTCAACACAGGCGTCGAAAACAGAAAATTTTTTCGTAAGTTATCGGCTATCATTTCTATTCGCACTGAAAAAAATTGTAAGAAAAATATAACTTACTTTCATAAATTTTGATCTAATCAACGTCCACTAAAATAAAAGAGAAAAAATTGATGAAAAAGTAGAATTGAATAGACTCATAACAAGTTTATTCGTACAAACAAAACTTACACAACATACGGATCCAAATCATGGGAATATGGATAGGATTTGACTTTTCGAGCTTCCAACATTTGATTTATAAAATCGATAGAAATTGGTCCGTCGAGTGGTTTAGGTCCCCAACGTTTATTGATTTGTGTTATTGTTTGACTTTGACAAAATTGTCTAAAAATAGTATAAAAAGAATTAAAATTAATTTATCTGATAAAAAATTCAATATCTTACGTTAATTCTTGTAATTGACTAGCGGTCGATCTCCCTGAGTTATTCTCTGTTTTCATTTGTTCTTCTGAATTACTATACAATTAGAAAATAATTTTATAATAACAAATTATAAATAATTTTTAATTCAATACCTGTTCTCAACTCCTTTTTTCTCCACTTTTTCACATGATTCAAATATATTAAATGATGGTGCTTCACCATGTTCTTCAACAAATATATTAATAAAATTCGAAACTTCTTCCGAATCTTTTGAAATACTTGAAAAATGTTGAAAGATGTTTAAGAATGTACTGATCTATTTTGCTTCAGAAAAGCTTTACCTGCATAAATAAGCATGATAATCGTGTACGTGTGGTTTATCAGTAGAATGGTGTATGTTATGATTTGTACTTAAAAATCTGCTCATACCAGGGAATGGAACAGCAAATCTTTTTAAACTAAATAAACAAGTGATAAGAACTAACATAAATTAGTTATTGTTTTGTATAAGTATCTAATTAGACCTCTGAAACAGTTAAAAATCTAATCGATTTCTCATCCTTTCTCTTAATCTTTTACTGAATAAACTGATCAAGACAGACAAAAATCTCTTTGAAAAGACTGTTATCACCAAAATTTCAAGGTCGTAGTAGAATCGTAGTTGCTCTCTGTAGAATGATGACTTTCATTCTCAAGACAACTCTCTCATATAGTATCCGTTCGAACTAAAACGAATGTTTTGAATTATAATGCCTGGGGGACGTTATCGGAAACATTGTAAATATAAATATTAATTTACTCAGTTTTTGTCCCATCTGTATCATCTTCATCTGAATTAATCCTAAAATATAGGCAAAATGATAGAATGGGATGTTTATCTCATATAAGTTCTTGTGATGTATTATTCATCGTACCTAGTAATATATTTGCATAGGTTCTTTATTTGACTAAAAGGTAATGCTGTTAAACTGAAAGTTCTAAAAAAACATCAATATTAACAATTTTATTATATGTTTATCATAGAAAGTGATAAAGTGACAGTTCTCTAACATAACATCAATTTTACTATTTTTTTATTAAAAAGGTGCAAATTATTTTTTTTTATTAAAAAACTTACTTGGATTTTTCTTCATTAAAGGTTGTTGGATAACTAGTGATCAATAAAATGTTGAAAAGAAACAAAATAAACGCACAAGACACAAACATTGTACTTTTTGTTGATACTAAACAAAAACAAAACAAGAAAGTATTGTCTAAGTCTAATTTTGAATTTTCTGAAATATTCGAGTGTTAGATGTTCTTAACAACATCTATGTCATTTAATTTGGGAATATCTTTTGATGAACCTTTGATTATACTCTATGATTCATGCTACTTAATACCTTTTTGTACATGTACACTGTTTGCTCTTATTTTTCTAAAGTAACGAATAAAACCGCGTACTTTTTACAATTACATGAACTATGCTCTCACACAACAACGCGGAATGCCAGTTTTATGAGTAAACTGATTATTTGTCATATATGAATAACAGCGTTGGCGATTAAACCAACAAAAACTATCGTTTAAGTTTGATTATTGATCTTTTCTTTTCTCTTATCATAAATAATTTATACTACATTAATACTACAAAACAGCATTAATTCTTTTAACTTATTTCTCAAATATATAAAAATTTGTTTTAGTCGTTCGGTGATGTTATCGTGCATAATCTTATAATGGATTTAAAAAGCTATTTTGTTTCCTTTTCCCATCTGGAATCTAATAATGATGTATGTTTTAATAATTATTTTCTTCCTACTTACCGTCAACCTTTGATAAACCTTGATAATAAATAAATGAGATTTTTCTGTCTTAAAGGATATTCATTAGACGAACAATTAGTGATCTATCAATTAAGTTATCCAAATGAATGTTCACCTCCGAATATATAAACAGATTTGACTTTAAGCTGTAAAACGTGTTAAACACAGACGTTTTAGATGGAGCGATAAATTTAATTTGTGGCACGTATGTACGTGGCATGTATGTAGAAGATGTACGTGGAAAATTTGACATTCTAACGCTCCACAACAGTAGAAAATGTAGAAAAGTGATAAAATTATTCTAATCACGTATGACTAATCTCTGTACTACTCTAATCAATAACAGAGTGGAATTTTCCTTACGGAAAACAAAAGCAAACATAATACATACGTTTGTTTTGGATTTTGAGAATAGATATCTTTTTTACTTTTTACTTAAATCTTCATAATTATACCTATAGTGTTTAGAAGTGAGAGATGAAGTTTTTTACCACTAACTTTGAAATATATTATCTTGTCTTATAAACTGACTGTAGTTCTCCAATATTTTACAAGAATCAGAAAAATTCACTTTTCTTTCTCAAAGTCTTTAAATTGGAATAAATAGGCCTATTATGAGGAAAAGGTTGCGTGTTACTATCATACGGAGATCACCTGTTGTCCTCTCTTTTTTATGCTTAATGACTTGCAAGACATGTTTTAACCACAGCAAGTGTAGAGCTTTATCTTGCTCAATTCTCCTCCTAGAATCTGAAATAACTTGACAATCATACAGAGTTTCAGAATTCACTTATGAGAGAAACATTTTGTGTAAACACAACGCATCCTTAAACCACACGGAAGGAAAAGTATTTCTTAGACGCTGACATTAACACATTAGGAAAACAGTCAGTCTCCTATACAGCGCTGTGAAAAATTATAAGACTACCCTCGTGTTTTTCTTACCTCGTAACTCAGATTTATTTTCGGCAATACAATTAGAGAAGCTAAATATAACCGATGTATTCTCAATTGCACAATCATTGAATGGTTATGAATTAATGATTTCAGAAAATGGATCTACAGACCCTCGTAAGGGTGAATTTTGAATTGTTCAATGGTAAAGAGATGCAACATTATGTTTTTCTTTCTGATGTAGAAGAGTAAAGTTAGATCTACAAAACAAGACGTTGCACAGTTCTGTAGCATACAGAATAAAGATGCTAGATTGGCATTGCAAGCTCAGATTGAACATCCTGACCGTCGCATCTTCTGGGAATCTGTTGAACTCGTGTCGAAATTTCACGAAATCTGGTGCAATCCGATCAGACTCGGTTTAATTACGTCTGAACTAGGTTTTCTGCAAAATGAGACGTTCTGCAGCTATGAGCGAATCTTGATAACCGATGTATAGCAATTTTCTCGGCTGCCCCAACACCAGTTAAAAACTGGTGCATACCTAGTCTGAACCTATTTTCCGAAATCAGAATGACGGACCTTGTTGCAGCCGATTAGATCCGATACCCGACCGAAATTAGTCGAATTGAAGTGGATCCTACTCGATTTCACCAATTAGATTCCTGCAGATATCCATGTTCTAAAACTATTAAAGTTCTACCATTGTGAGATTAAGAATACAATGATTATATTTAGCTTTTCTACTTGTACTGTCAAAAATTTATATAACTCCTCCGGTAAGGAAAACAACAGTGTATTATTATTTTTTACAGAAATAAAGAAGATTTGTAGCAAGAGAAAGAGGGAAGATAAATCTAGCACTATACACACTACTGTATAATATATGGAAATATCAAGTAATGTACAACAAGTTTTTGATAAACCGCACCATCTTAGTATCTTCTACTTACGTGTTATTTATCCAAACTTTGGTATAAATGCTTTATGTGCTAGAAAAATGTTAATATATAGCATGGTACATTGAAGTCTGTTTATTTTATGTCAAAAAGAGCAATTTACATTTCATTCCTCGATGTTGAATTCTATTCTGCTCATATTCTATTAAGTGTGAGGTTATCTTTGATAATCATGTCATAAGACATACGTAGTTGAGCAGAAAATAAAATACATAATTGATTTGAACGACGTTAGCGCCTACAATAAACTGTTTTCATCTTATTATTTTTTTTCTATGCTTTGATATTACTCATTAGAAATTCATAGTTTCAACCCATCACGTCGAATTACTACCTGTAAAGGCAATTGTCAATACTGAAAACACATTGTATAAGTGTTTTTCTATTTTAGGGTTACTTCTATAACAACAAAACTAAAAATCTCCTGATAGAAGTATAATAAGAGAAAAAAGAGATGATTGGAGGAAAATAAATTGATTTAGAATTCAATTAACCACCACGCTTCACTGAATAACAGAGAGAGCATTCTTCTCGAAGTTGCTTTCTTCACCACTCTTTAAATTCTATTAAATCAAACTTTTACATATCAGTGTAATTAAGAAAAAGCTTATTCGATCAAAACTGATTACAAACACGGTCGGCACAACAAAATTTGAGTCGAGGTGTTGCTTTAAGAGTTCTATTTGCTAGTTTAGTATCTAGAAACTTTTACGAACTTTTCTAAAATTTATAAAACTTGTTGGTGCACCCAAAGAAAATGCAAAAATAATGTTCACTCTAGATCTTGAAAAAATGACTGCCAAGATCGCTTCATGGACTTACTCAAGAACCTGAAATTTCTGTTCATCAGAGTGATTCCAGAACCATTCTGATGAACAGACATTTCAGGATCTTGAGTAAGTTTATGAAGCGATCTTGGCAGTCATTTTTCAAGATCTAGAGTGAACATTATTCTGGCATTTTTTTTTGGTGTATCCTTGACGCAGCCACGAACAACTAGGTCCAAGAAAGAAAAGACTCAGATTTATTCTAAGTGTGAAAAATTTGAGCATTTATCTATAAAAGTAGAGTATGAAACAAATGGTGACTGAAGAATCTATCGATGTCTTTGAACAAAAAGTGAGCTCTAAGCGCCAAGCTCTAAGACATTCAAAATATTCACTTCTTCTAATTTCAGGAAATTCTACATTTTCTTATCAAGATCTTGAATCGAAGACTTACTGAAAAAAATTCAAGAAGTCAAGATCTTAATGTTAAGAACTTTCCCTATGGATATACTCATCAAAAACAAAAAAAGAATAATCAGTGTGTCAAAATTTTATATAAAGACGACTCATGTCACACGGGAAAAACAATGAAACGTACGTGCGTAAGTTTAATTATGTACTGACAAATTAAAAAGAAAGCAATTCATACGTTATTATTCCCAAAAAACAGAATGCCCACACTTCAATGTTTTCAAGCAACCACAAAGAGAGAAAAAATACGATGGAAAAAAACCATAAAAGAATAGAAAAGAATATAGATGACAACGCGTAAGGTTGTATTCGGTTGCCGTCATCACAACTTTTAATACGGTATCTCTCTGTATAATTTAAAAATATTTCATTTTTTTAAATATTCCAGCTACAATTCAAGAACTTTGTGGCAACCATAAACATATGTATTTGTTTTCTTCTAAGAACAAAATGTCTTAACGGAAGTGCCATTCGTTTATTCTTATATGTTCACAACTTTTAGATTTTATAGATAAGATCCCTATTGAATCTCTATTTATAATGAGCTAAAAATATTCAAAGAGCGTCGTTGATTTCATTAGTAAACCGGAATAACTAAATAACGTATATTTAAAAATCCATAAAAGCTAATCAGATTTAAACTAATCGTGTAAAATGAGAACTTAAAGAAACAAAATTCGATAAAAGTGTTTTTCTAAATGAAGCGACAAAAACTTTAATCAATGAGAAAAGACCAAAAATCAATTTTATTGTTGTTGTATTTGTTAACATCGTATCAAAAGTAATCGTATATCTAGATATTCAACGAATACCGCATATACTTCTCGCATATGTATTTTAAACAAATAAAACATTATATTTTATCAAATTTTTATATTATTTTTTCACTTTTATCTCCTCATTTTCTAAGGCGAGATTCATATGCGACAAAGTCGCTAAGGATACAAAAAATGCAAAAAAATTAATTTAATTTACTTCAAACCTGATTACAACAATTTGTCTGTAAACCAATAAACTACTGATCTACATTAAATATTCTATTTATTTGAAGTTATCGATACCATGTAACAGATTTAAATTTATAATCTGTGATAAGAATAATTGTGTTTCATTTACTACGTCAAAGATCATTGTGATCTCTGAAAAATAGTTAAAATATACAAATATATTTCAACTGAATGAACTTGAAGCATATATGTGCGTAAAAGACGAATTTTTCTTATCATATCATTTTAATGACTTTGTTCTTTATAATACAAAGAAGGATAAAATCAGAAAAGGTCTTGAAAAATTAGCAGAATGCATCACGGACGGAAAGCAACAAGACAGAAAGCATCTCGGAAAAGTGTCAATTAAGCATTTCTGTGTAACAGATTTCGGGAAAAAGTTATTAATTTTTTTATTTTTAAAGAAAAGATCTTGGAATAATTAATTAATTACTAGCAAAGACTCTCACACTAGCATACATTCGACCTTCCGAATAGTGCAGTCCTTGGCAAAACGAAACTTCAATGCAAAACCTTTTGCCGCACTTTGATATTTACCAGAATATGACACAAATGTAAAAAAAAAAGAGAATAAGTTCGGTTTTCTAGTCTCGTTGTAATGCTAATTTAATTTTTTTTGGACTTTCTCTTTCTCTTCGTTTCCTCATAATTTGTGGAACAGGTCTTGTGCCCCACATCATCGTTAAACCAATTTGCATGTTACATGAGTGTTCTTTGATACCATATCTACATGAGCAGAACCATGATGGTAAAAAACGTGAGCAATTGAGCAAACGAGCTGATAATGACCAATGAACGGATTCATCAAATGATTGGCAGTCTGTTAAATTTAATTGTTGAACCCATGTGGATACATTTATATTTTATTTAGTTTCCACTATCGCATAAGAGAACTTCATTCTACGTACGACGTGACACTTTTAGGTTCACAGTTAGAATGAAGTTGAAAAGGATACCTTTTGTATAATAAACATAAATGTCACATGTTTTCGTTCCAGACTGTTCATTATTCCAAGATCAAAATAAAAAAATTAATAACTTTTTCCGGAAATCTTTTATACAAAAATGCTTAACTGATATTTTTCCGAGATCTTTTCTGTCTTCTTTACCTTCCGAGATGCATTCTGCTAATTTTCTGAGACCTTTTATGTTTACGTCCTCTTAGGAAGCCAATAAATCTATCATCCTACGTTGAAGATATTTTGTGAAAATAAAAAGACAGCCTATGACTATCTAAATATTATTTATAAACGAGAATGTTCTGAGTCAGAAAATCAAGCATTAGAATTTAAATTACGAGAAGAAAAGAAATGTTATCATGATTTTTCATTACTTCATATAAGAAACCTGAGTTCTTCTATCGTGCAAAAATAAGTTGAATTGTCGTGAAATCTACAACAAAGGGAAATTGATTTTCACCATCAACGGGTAAAAAGTATAGAAAAGGCCAAAGCGAATACCGGAAATTCTCCCACAATCCGTTTATTAACTCATTGATCTGGATGAAACTTATTACTTTATGTTGCGGTTTTCTACATAAGAGTTGGCTTTATGAATACCTTGTTTCATACAGAATTTCAATCCTAAGGTCTTTTCCAGTTCTTAACCCTTTGGTGCCTGGTTTTTTTTAGCGTAAGTTGTGCCTCTATCTCGATTTTCTTTGAACATTAAAAATTCTCATTAACAAATATTTTTCAATTTAAATAGAAGAGATATATTGACTATATTTCTTCTATTTAAATTGCTCTATAGGCTATTTTCACTCACTTTTGATTGATTTGGTATATATACCACCCCGGATTTTGAGTACATAGTCGAAATGGTATATATACCACGCTCGGCACCAAAGGATTAAGAACAGAAGTTTGATAGCGCGATGATTTCTGAAAATCAATCTATTTCATCTTATTTTGTGAGATTATCTACATCTACTACATCATGCAATGGTGCACCATTATTTTTTGCAATAATGTATTATATGGGATGAAGAGACTTGTATCATAAGTTAACAACTAATTGTTTGAGTATGTGAAGTTATAATCGAATATCGCCAATAAACAATGTTGAATTAAATTTCCGACAAAAAGTCAGCAATAGTTACTGCAATGGAGCGCAAATGAGTTCAGTACCATTTATTCATGTTTATACATATAATAATTTATTTTCTCTTTTGTCGTTTGATTAAATCGACTGAAATAATTGCTATTTTATCCTAATATCTACCACTGATAATTAGTATACGACATTTGTAAGAAAATACAAGCAGAGACAGGAACGTATCTTTCGATTCAGAGTTTCCCAATCATTCATGAATAGAACGTATGGTATATATCTCTACTATATTCCCTTGACTTTAGTCTAGTATAGGATCTTACCAGAGGTGGGCAAGTCCGACCATTTCCAAGTCAAACAGAAATTTTTCTGGCAAGTTCAAATCGGCTGAAGCTTAAGTACAAGTTCAAGTCAAGTGCAAGTTCGAGTCGAAGTTCTTCATATTTCTGCACTATACAGTACGTCATAATCATATATGACGGGTAAATAAATTTTATCCATACATGATGCATGTTTGACAAAAAAAAGATTAATAAATTAGATATCAGATTATACTCAATCCGTTGTTGAATGTAAAAGATTTTAACTCCTTGGGCTTCAAACGGACTTGAAGTCCGTTGCCCACCTCTGGATTTTACAAAATGGCTGTCTGTCTCTTTGTGCACAAAATACGGAAAACTGGCTGTCAGATATTTCATAGATATGCCAACCACGAGGAAGGAAAATAGAAAACATTTTTAACCAAGACAGAGAAAATATTCAATGAGATGAGCTGAAATACCTCTTGATGCAGAGAGAAAAAAGCTTAACAAACTTTTTCTGTAGTCCTGAAACAGATGTCACAAAAAATGATAACACAAAAAAAGTTGTCTGCGGATAATAAAACTTACAAAATATAGATAATCTATCATAGCGCATCGATTAGAAATACTTCCGCTTGCGGGTCTTCAGAACTTTCTATGATCTAGAAAACTTTTTAGCTTTATATTACATTGTGAGAAAGTGCACCCAAAGACTGACGACTTTGCAAATGTGAGTATTCTCAGTGTAAGATCGCGTTGCTGTTAGTGGCCTTCAGGGTGTAGCGAGTATCAGTTCGACCCTGTTTGACACACAGAGGATTAGGGCTCAGCCATTCCGCTTCATTCACAGAATGCTAGATTGGCTCTAGCAACGACCTGATGCTGGCGCTAATATCTATGGATACAAATCCTCTGAAAATCCAAGCGTGGATGCTCGATGCTTCACATGTGACAGACGTAACCTTATCGTTAAAACTCACAAGTGAATAAATCAAAAGACGTCAATCTGTCTCACTTTTGTTTCGAAGTCAAGTTTCAGTTACATGTTGAACTGGAATTGAGACTTACAGTGTAGAACCTAGTAAATTTGAGAAAATGTTTCTCAGGGACTTCACAGCCGACAAATCGGGTAGTTCAGTATTGTCACTCAGAAAACCAGGAAGTGTTCAGGTAGGAGAACAAGGACCCGTAATTGCTGCAGGCTTTCTCTGAATCTGTGATTTCATTCTTTATTCACATCGACGTTTGTTTTTCAGATAAATGTCGTGGCGTGATAGAAACATCCGGTCAACGGAAACATTAAAAATTGATTGCACTATGTTCTAGAAGAAAAGTCCGAGTAAAATATGATGAAATCAAGTCTAGAAAACGAAGTAGAGCTGTCTACAAAGCGACAGATCGATTAAACATAATTTTCTTGACTGACGACTTTCTTCAATTTTTTCTTGCGTTCCTTTGAAAGGTTGCAGAAAAACCATGAGGTTTATATAGAAATCATAGTTTTGTAAGGAATCAGAAACAACTCCTTGAATCAGCCAGAAAAACACGTTACATGGTGTTTAGAAATCACTGGAGGACATAAACTTTTCCAAATATAAGACTAGCTGAAGCAGGTCTCAAGCGAGTTACCTCAAGTGTTACCTCGTTTAGCAAATGCATGCGAAAGGGAGGCGCGAGCAACGTCCTTGATTTATTGATCATAGAAGCATGACGCCTGCATGTCGAGCGATGAAAGTCAAGAGACCAAGCGAATCGATGAACTTGTATGTATATATCTGTGTATAGTACGTTAACAGGGTATTTACAATATAAGAAAAAAGATAGTTTAGTCAACGTACTTTCGACTAAACATTTTTTTTGTATTGCTATTCTATTTTGCTGTTATATGGATGTACCTCCGAAAGTTTTTAACACGTCTATGTTCAGGTATAAAAATAATTTCAATCATTGTGTGACTGAACAAAATAAATGTTTATAAAGTGGCATGCTACGCTTATCGAAATATATAAACAATGATCGATTCTATAAACAATCATAAAACGCTTTTTCTCTGAACAGTATTCTAGATTAATCAAACACACTTATGGCATCTACTAAGAAAATTGCTGTTGTTATCGGTATGATGAATAAAACTGTGCAGTCAAAACAATGTGTCTTCGGTCATTTGTTTCTTTTTTTCCTAGGAGTTGGAGCTGGCTTAGGAGCGTCTCTTGCAAAAAGGTGTGTCAACTGTAAACTGTTAGGTCTCTGATATTTGTACAAAAGGGAAAAAAATTACAGTTTACCATTAGTTTTACTTCAATTCTCAGTTTTTGTTTATTGTTTTCTTGATAGATTCGCTGCTGGTGGATATTCAGTTGGTTTGATCGCAAGAAAAATGAGTAATTTAGAACCGGTTAAAGCAGAAATAGAACAACATGGTCAAACAGGTGTGATGCTCTATCTCGTATAATCATCACACATTTCTCATGCGCGTCAATTTTTTTTCCAATTCTAGCACTCTGTGTTGAAGCTGATGCCAGTGATGCAAAATCGTTACATCAAGCTTTTGATGTTATCAGAACAAAATTAGGTGATCCAGAAGTATTAGTTTATAATGCCGGTGCTACCCGCTTTTGTGAGTTTTATTTTGAAAAAATTCATTCTTCCTTTAAAATATGATACTAAATTATTGTTCTCTTCGGTCACAGGTGGAATTTTAGATTTAAAAGCTGAAGATCTACAGTCAATACTTAATTCAACTGTTATTGGCGGACTGATTGCAAGTCAAGAAGTGAGTAGAAAAGACATTTATAAAATGAAAAAGCATTCTGATAAAATTCACTTATTTTACGTTTAGGTATTACCAAGTATGTTAAAAAATGGAAAAGGCACGATCTTGTTTACAGGTGCCACAGCGAGTATGCGTGGCTCAGCCGGTTGTGCTGGTTTAGCCATTCCTAAATTTGGACTTCGAGCACTTTCTCAATCAATAGCACGTGAGTATGGACCGAAAAATATACATGTTGCTCATGTGATAATAGACGGTCAGATCAATAAACCACGTCAAGTCAAAGGTTGGTTAGTCCTTAACTTTTTTACAACTAAATGATATTCTATTTTTTTTTATCCAGAACAACCAGACAGAGATATCAATTCATTTTTGAACAGTGATGCAATAGCTGAAACATATTGGCAACTTCACATTCAACCAAAATCAACATGGACCCAAGAAATTGATCTAAGGCCATCTGTCGAGAAGTTTTAAAAGATTGAAATGCATAACATAACTTATGTTTTTTAAATTTTATGAAGCATTTACAGCACTTTTGTTTAACTTTTACAGCAACTTATAAAATATTACAAAAATATTCTATTCTAATAAATACTCAGAATACCGCAAGATGTAGATTTTGATAAGTACAAACAGAAATCATCTATTTTTAAATTTCATTAACTCATTCTGGATTAGTTTGACAACCAATTCTGGTCTTTCCATTGGAATAAAATGAGAAATATCGTCTATCACTGTCTCCTGACCTTGTCTGAAATAAGTAACTAGGTTGTGTGCTGTCGGTGAAGTTTCAAAACCACCGGCCACCAATGGCAGCGGTGATCGTACAATATGAACTGGAATTTCAATTTGAGATATTTCTTGATAAATATTCGATTCTGGTGCAACGCTTGAAATATAAACTGACGCTTCCGCTTCGGGAGAACAAGCAAGAATTAAATCAGAACCATTTTGTGATGGAATTAATCCGTAATTACAATAATCTCGTAAAACGGCTGAATTCCACGTCCGAAATGGTTTACGATTTTGAAAACTTTCAATCATTTCATTAGCAGACGACCAAATATGGCGACGCTTAAGTATAAAACCAACAGGCATGTTTATGTTTGAAGTATATGCCGATTCAGAAAGAATAACAGGATCTAACAACAGTAGCGAGGAGAATGATGTTGGACGCAGAGCTGCTGCTAAAACGACGGCGTAGCCGCCTAAAGAATGACCAACACCAATAGCTTCTCGTAATTCAAGTTTTTCCGCAAGAGCTGCCAAATCTTCACCAAACGAACGGAAAGAGTATGGAGGTGCATGCTTGGTTGATAAACCATGTCCTCGAAAATCTATGGCAATGATATGTTGATTTGGTAAAGCATGAACTATCTGATCCCAACAACGGCCATGAAATGACGTGGCATGGCATAAGAAGATTGTTGGTTTCACACCAGACCATTCCCAAACGTTCATTTCAATCGATTCCATTCCTCCAACCGGTCGATTATGCAGAATCATCTTGTAATTCTTTGGTGATATTCCATCACGCTTCGTCATGAAAAATCTACTTTGACTTTGTAAAAAAATTTGCTGAATTTTGCTGCAATGCGTTTTTAGAAAGGAATGTCTCATGATTCTTCTAAAAGGCTTGATTTTAACACATATAACGGATATTCCCGATAAAAATGGGACATTCTTGAGTTTCATTTTGTGTTACTCACAAATGATTATAAAGTTTCATTGTATGATGTTTTAATAATATGTTTGACTAAGAATCATTCATTATGGTTCCTTTAAAACATTCAGAACAGTGAACCTTTTAACGATCAAAAACTAGAAGTGCTACCTGAAAATTACCCTCTTTTACCAGTGAAACTTTCTGCCACGTATAGTCATAAAAATAATTACTTAAATAACAAATGACATAGCTTCTTAACCTCAACAAAATTTTGTGAATTAAATTAAATAATAACATTTCGTTTGGTAATAAAAGAGAGCAGATTTGCTTGTTTCCACAGAAAACGAAACATGTAAAAACTGGAAACACGTATGTTCTTGTATTGATATAAAAAATGTAGATATTGTCACAAAATTTATTTTCATATCTCATAATGTAGAAAATTGTTTGCACTTTCTATTAGTAAGCTCGGTTTCAAACGACATATTGTCTAATGGAAAATTTGTTGTGTGAAGGAAAACAAGATGTTACAATACTAGGTTTAACGGACACTAGTAATCCCAATGTTTGAAAGGAACCATAAGAATTTACTCTAAATCAAACATAATATTAAAAACTACATTCCATAGTCTTTAAAGATAGAATGAACGTTCCAAATCACTTGCTAGTACAAAATTGAAACACGAGAATGTCTCATTTTATCGAAACACTCGTGACATCTAAAATGCAAAGAGAAAACATTGCTAATAGAATCTCTGGCTTGGTGTGAGTGCTTTTTGCGAAATTTTAAGCAAAACGTATTTATGATGTAATTTTTTATGATATCTTCACTTATTTACTTGTAAAAATCTAAACTATGACGAAGTTCCAATGGCTCCCAATGGAAATTTTGAATTCTTCTCGCTATTTTTTCCATACATTACAATTACTATTGTTTAAATAATGAACTTGTTTCATCAAAATCAGTGATATTGCTACAGTAGCTAATTCAACAATGTCCATGTCTATCTAAATGAATGACTAACTTTATTGGTTTCAAATTCAATCTAGTCATCTGCCAACGTAAAAAGAATTTCGATTTGAGACAGACCAACAAAATTATTCATTGTCAATAGCCGATGATAAATTGTTATATGGATTATTCAATACAATAATAATATTTGCGTTGATCTCTGCTTCTTGATAAAATTGAAATAATTACAAAGCTTCTCACGGAAAAAGAATACAAATTCCTTTAACATAACAAAATTTTATTGTTCTAAAGTATAACCGAGAAGAAACCCGTAAATGATTATAACTAGAAATGAAACCTTGTTATTTCTGTCTTCTACTGTTTCTAACTTCTGGAATGCTGGTGTAAAGTGTATTGGTGTGTCTTTTAATTTCTCTAAAGCGTTTGACTCTGCCTCTCACTCTTTTCTGTTAAAAAAAATTGTCGTGTTGTGGTGTGAATGACTGTTTACCCTCTCTCTTGTCATCTTACCTCTCCAATCGTTTACAGTGTGTGCGTGTGATTGAGTCCATCTCCTCTCCTTCTCCTGTTTCTTTCGGCGTACCTCAAGGCAGTGTGCTTGGGCCGCTTTTATTTATTTTTATTAATGACTTGCCTCTTTCTCTTCCATATAATTGTGAAATCTGTCTTTTTGCGGATGATGTCTTTTTAATTGTACCTCTTTGTCCCTCGGATCCTTTTAATTTCTCTCATGTTCAAACCTGTATAAATTTTGTCTCAAATTGGTCTACTTCTAATCTCATGTTTCTCAATGTGTCTAAATGTTCTTGGCCTCCTTTTAGTTTCGATCCTTTCCCGTTTGTTTACAATCAGCTGTATCTTAATAAAGTCCCTCTTTCCGTTGTTTTCTGTTCGTTGTCTCGGAGTTCTTGTTTCGCACGATCTTAGGTGGAGTGAACATGCCAGAGACATTGCACTTGCTTGTCGACGCAAGCTAGGCGCACGGAGCCGTGTCTTTGGACTCGCTCAGTCAGAGATTCAGCGTCGCATCTACTTAGGGCATACCAAAAGTAGTGAGAGTTCCAATTTTTTCTTCCAAAGTAGGCTTTAAGAAATTTTCTTGTTATGTAAAATAGAGCATTCTTTTCTCTATTAAACTATATAGAAAGAAAGTTACTTAAAGCTTATCATAAGGTATTAAGGTATCACTCTACGAACTTTTGGTATGCCCTAAGTATCTTTCTTCTATTCTTCCTAAACTTGATTACTGTTGTGCCTTATACGATAGTTCCTTTTCGCTTTCCGTACTCGATTCTGTAAATAATCTTGCTTCCCGTGTTATTTCTCGTAATTCTGACTATCGCTTTTCTCGCTCTTTACTTGTGTCACAACTTTCTCTTCCAAATCTCTCTCTTCGCCGTAAATATTTTCGACTAGTGCAGTTTTTCAAAATTTATCATCGTCTTAGTCCTCTTTCTATCTTTTACTCTATTCATCGTCCTCATTACTCTTCCTTACGCTGTCATCATTCTAAATATGTTCGCATTCCAACCTCTGTCAATGGTTTTTCTTCTCAAACAGTTTTCTCTTCTTTTTACTATTCAACTATTACTGACTGGAATAAACTTTCTGAGTCAGTTATTTGTTTTTCTTCATTAGCGTCTTTCAAAAAGACACTAGTTCAGTATCTCTTACAGAAAAATATCAGCCGTGTTCCTAGTCATAATTAACTGGTATTGGTTGTTTCTCTAGAGTTATTTTATTTGTGTCTATCTTTTATTGTTACTTTTATATCCTCGTTGCATATTCTAGTCTCTTTTTCTTTTCATTTGTTTACTTCTGTTATTATTTTTAGTTTTATTTATTTTCTTTTTTGTTTTCTTATCTCTTTTTATTCTAGTCTGAGTCATCGATATTACAGGTCATGGACCTTTGATGACTCTCGAATGATTCGAAATAAACGGATATATGAAACCGTAAACAGGCTAACACACTCATCCTACAAACCGTTAATGAAGTTTAACAAAATGTTTATCGATCCGTATTCAAGATTAACAATAATTCCTCGTAATACTGACAAAACTAACAATTCATTCAGAAAAAGAGATAGATCAAATACTATTTTTAGCATTTAGACTGGGAGAATTACAAATTTCAAAGAATGTCTGGGTAGTGACTGATTCACTAGTCGATGCCTATTGACACTCTTAGTTGCAAGATTGACGAAAACTGTTAAGTCATTCAACATCAGAGAAGATTTGAAGCGTAGTTCTCACGGATTAGTATGATATGATACTATATTACATATCGGTAATACATATCCAACAACCTTTATCACAACTCTGGAATCACATAGAACAAGCCAATCAACGTCTTCGTCGTTCTGAATGGTTACGATCGTCAAATCAAAATCTTTTCTTTTCAACAACCTTTCTTGTTTATTTTAACATAATGGCGGCTTTGTTTCTCAAAACATGTCATAACCGCTCTGTTATGATGTAGTACATAGAAAAACTGTGGTACGTAGGCCTTAGTCAATGAATAAACTGCACTTTTTTGTTTTTGAGCAACTCAAATTCATTAGTTGACAGTTGGAGCTTGAGCCAAATTAAAATGAGATTTCATTTCTTATTTTCAGTTTTTTCGGACAAGCTACGATTACCGAGATATTCACAAAAAAAAGTGCCCTCCATAGTGAATGTCTCGGTAATCGTAACTTTTCCGAAAAAATTGAAAACAGGAAATGAAATCTCATTTTATTTTGCTTCAAACTCAAAACTTTTATCCAATGAATTTCATCCGAGAAATTCTCTTGTATATCACAGAATAGTTGATATACAAGAAATCTACATATTGTAATGCCTTAACCTTGTGTGAATGGCATTTACTGGAATTTCACTGAATTCTCTCATACTAAAACTCTCAGGGGGATCATACTCCCAACAAAGGTTTTTATAAGTGTTTTGTTATCTAACCGCTCACAGTTTTAATAAAAAGAGTAAAAGAACTATAGACAAAATACATGCGATGCTGGAAAATCGCTCCATCAAAATTCTTAAGCTCTTGAATTTAAGTGAGCACTTAAGTCTCGATTTACTTTTAGTCAAGAGTTGACTTAATTCTTCGCTTTGACTTAAGTCTGTCTTAACTCTACAGAACGTGATCTTGTGATCTTATGTTAAGTATTGACTTCAGGCATTTCTAGAGTTTGTCTTAAGCTAATGCTCTCAAACGGCACACTAAAAATAAACTATACATTGGCCGACAGCTGTGCTTAAATCTATGAACTTAAAAACTAATGACAAAACGATCGTCTAACCTTTTTACTAAAAGCTGTGTTTTTTACTTTGTTATTTTTAGCCTATGCAAAATAAATTTAAAAGTCAATGGCATCTAGTTTTAGTAAATATTCTAGTAGATGTACTTGTGTAATGAAAGCGATGCTTACCTTTTTCCAAAAGTAAATTTACTTGTAAGTACTTACCTCACTTGCAAATGCTTGATCTTTCACTTATCAAGTACTTTCACAAAGTACTTCGTAGCAATAAAAGCAAATATTACAATCTTAGAGAATTATTTGTAAAACTTCGTGGTAAGCGAATAATTTTCAAAATAACCTTCCAAGTATCAGAATTAACTAAACTTAACTAACGTATATTTACAGAAATACTTTTGCATGCAAAAATACTTCAAGCTTCACCTTAGGAAAATGTGATATTCAAGGTAAAAAGTATTTTTTGCCTGTTGGTATCATCTAGCACGGATATAGAAAAGTAAATTGTATTATGCGAGAACAAGTTTTAGAATTGATATTGTCAGACAGAAATGTTCTCTGGAATTACCATTCTTTCTTGAAACAGTTTCTAATTGAACGAAAGATAAATGCAAAATGGCGGTAGGTGAAGTAGTTGTATGCTATATCAGTGTATCTAAAAAAGTAATTCATATGATTTTTAGAAAATACAGACCCAACCAAAAGTGCCGTTTAACATAATAATCTACGGACTTTATCAAATAGTTTCGATTTCTCGAAGTCAGTGAGCTATTGAACTAAATTTAAAGAGATCATTCAAAGAGCTTGGTTTATCATACTATGTTGAAATGAAAGTTCCCAAAGGTTTCGTAAAATCACACAGAATAGCTTAAAAAACACGAATTCAAGTAGTAGGATTCGTTCAAAAATTTACTAGACTTAAAAAGAAGAAAAAGGAACACAAATGACTCAGAAAACTAACCTAGTGTTCCCGCTCATCTCGAAAATAATAACTCATTTTTAAATATGTATCATTTAAAACAAAATGAATAAGAATACAACAACTATAACTGAATTTGTTCACTTTTAGATAATGTCTACTATACTTGATCATAAATCTGAAGAATTTGTATTATCGACCAACAATAATTCTAAGGAAACAAATAATGTCCAAACTCTATATTTTTCCAGTGACGAATCAAACGGAAATAATCATTCAAATGAAACGAACAGTAACAATAGTCATCTATACCAGTTATCGAATATGAGTTTTTCAAAAATTATTACCAAGCATGGTCATGGTTTAAATGCTCCAAATGAAGGATCACAGTGTAAGATTTATGTGAAAAATCTCAGCATCAATTATTTACTTGATTACAATGAACATTGCAACGATTTATTGCCATTTGAAAAAGAACAAGATATACAATTAGGATTTTATAAGACAATTATTGCAGATTATATACATAAATGTTTATTTACAATGAAAAAAAATGAAAAATGCGAATTGACATTTGAATATTGTTCACAAAGGTGTGAAGTTGTAGTTCACGGCTAAGAAATTTTCTGACTGAGTCCGTCTCGTGTTTGAATTTTTATTTGGGTTGCATATTCGATAGATATTTATCTAGTACAGGTACGCCCAACATTTGACTGGAATTGCAAGAAAGAGAGAGAGGAATGAAGGTTTAGATTGTCTTTTTTTGGTTCTTCATAACGAATCAATATTGTATATAGATGCTTTTTTCATGTATTCTTAAGATCGTACATTTTGAAAGCAATTGCTAGTTCATTTGACATTTGAGTAACACACTGCAAAATAAACAGAATTTTTTGTTTTAGTGTTCAAGAGCAGAGTAATATAGAAACATCATCTTCTGTTCATTTTGATATGAAATTTCTCGTACATTTGATCGATTTTGAACGTCAATGTGAAATATACAATATGCCAATTCAAACATTATATGATTATGCATTAATTCATAAACAAAATGCTAACATATTTTTTGAAAAGAAAATTTACTCATATGCCTTAAAATTATATCATCGTTCATTGTCTTATGCCTCAAATTTTACTACTGATGAACCGAATGAGGAAAATAATGAACTATTAAAAGAATTAGATAAATTAATTGTATCAATCTATACGAATATAGCTGCATTACAACTAAAATATTCAAATAATCATAGTGTTATCATTAATTGTTCACATGCACTTTATCTAGAGCCAACTTATATAAAAGCTCTATTTCGTCGTGGTTGTGCATATTTGAATTTAAATGATTATGAATTAGCATTAAATGATTTTCGTCTAGCACAAACATTAGAACCAAATGATGTTAAAATACAACAGTATCTTAAACAGACGACACAAAAACTTGAACAATATGAAAAAACATTATCAAATTCATTAAAAAAGTTATTCTAAGTATTATATTGGCGATTTATTTTGATATTTTCAATCAAATTTTAGTGTATGAATAATATGCAAGAAGAGATAGTTGTCGAAAATATTACTGATGATATTTTTTTAAAGAAAATGAAGTCGAAAAACAAACAAATAAGCTGTTGAATTACTCTGATAGAGAAGAGACAACAACCATATTCATCTATAGTTATAGTACTTAAACTACGACAAATCTAAATAAATTTTTATTTCCAGCACTAAAGTAATATTAGTATTCTTTCACTCAGTTTTTATAAACAAGATCATACATTATTTGATTTAATTTCATGAAGAAATATTTATAAAAGTGAATATTAAGAGTTGTGAAATTTTACTACCTCACGTCATCGGTTTACTTATAAGATATGTATTGGTGGATAACACTTTTTCACATGATTTTGCTCTTTTTTTTCTCGAATATGCAATGGTGTAGCATGTTTTTATATTGAGCAAATAGAAAAAAAACTGTATATAACAACCAATGAATTTCTATTTATTATTGTTTGAGATGAATTTTGGAAAAACTTTTGCTAAGTATTGATATGTACTTACTGAATCTAATGTGATAAAGAAATAGAGCTAAGATTGATAAACTTATAATGTTTTAAAAAAATATCCGATTATAAAGGCATATTGTTCTGCACGATTATCGATACATTTTTAGATATGTTGAAGAGAAAGTCATTATTATTCTTAATCATTTCTTTTACGTACATGCAAACACTTGCAAGTGCAAAAAAAGATTTTTATTCCTTTACGGTCAAAGATTGGCAAGGAAATGATGTTTCATTAGAACAATACCGTGGAAAGGTAAAATCAGATAGACTGTTTTGCTTATATCATTGTTTGTAGCTCTTTCCTATCGAACAATTTATTAAGATGTTAAAATTCTCTTGAGCTACTAATCTTTTGTGACAGCTGATTTTTCTACCTGAAATTAATAAAATAAAATATTTTTCTAATTTTAGGTTTCGTTAGTTGTTAATGTAGCGTCTGAATGCGGGTAATATCATATAAAATAGCGAATATGGATCTTTAATAATGTGTGTAATTTTTAAATATTTTAGATTTACAGATTCTCATTACGAAGGTTTAGTTGGTCTACAACAGAAATTAAATACTGGAAGAAATGTCTTTCAAGTACTCGCTTTTCCGTCAAATCAATTTGGAAATCAAGAGCCACAGGTGTGAATCATGCTGTAGGCTAAATCCCTTTCAAGAATACAAGACCATGGTGATCTTCTATTTGATTTATATGGAAAAAAACTTATCAACGTTGGAAAATATGACTTTCTAATCCTAAAAATTGCATACCTGTTGTCAGATGTCGATGAGATGAATGTGTCTATCCTTGTAAAAATACTTGATGATGTGATATTTGAAAAGTTGACCTTTTTTACACCATTTTGCCTTTGTGCACGCAGTGGCATGAGAGATTCAACCAAAAATCGGTTTATTTACAAGGAATCGATTGGTGTATGATATGTTAAGATTATTATATACTAATAGTTTCACCTGCCGAAATCGGTTGGGACGTTTAAGTGGAAAAGCACACTTTAGTATGAAATTATACTTTACTAGAGGCTAAAATTCTGAGAATATTTTAGATATTTTACGAAGAAAACCGGACATTTAAAAAAAGAAATCCTATTTTTTAAAATATTTTTGCTCTTTTATTGAACAGAAGAGATTTAGAATTTTGTGCCTATCACTTCTATGAATTGCCTTACATTTTTGAGATTCAGGTCGGTATCGTAGTAGAATATTTGAGAAGGTATCTACTGGAATAGAAACAGACAGCATTTGTAATGTCAAAGATCTAAGAGATTTCTATAAAAATATGCGAGAAAAAACTAGTTCACTTAGTGACTTTGAGAGTCATACATTTTGGGTATTTATTACATATTAGGTTGAGGAAAAAGTTCGTGCGCCGTGTTAAAATAATGATTTTTTATATATTTTTTTTTGTGTTTTTGATCTGGTTTTGTGGCTATTATGAAAATTTATTGATTTTTGAAACGCTTGAACC